CCGACTGCGCCACCCAGGCGCCCCTAGTGGTTTTAAGCAGTAAAGTATTTTTTCACCAGGAAATGTACTTGTTAAAGACCTAATGCTGTTGCACACTTACTAGGCTACGGTGCAGAGCAAGTGGAACTTTTTTGTTCCCTGGGAAGCCAGAAAAATTCATTTGACTCCCATTATTGTGATACTCGCTTTATTGGCAGTGGTCTGGGACCGAACCCGCAGTATTTCCGAGGTGTGCCTGTCATTCAGAATTAATCTGCAGTGAGAAAGACCTAGGTTAGAAGCTAGGAACCCAAAATTCTAATGACAGTATCACCAAGTTCCTTACGGTGAGTCTTGGAAAATTCCGTTGCAGGAGCTTGTAATGGGGGGTATGGAGCAGTGGCCGCATCAGTTCTGGTATCTGACTAACAATGCTGTAAAGGGAAGGGACCGGTTAGCTAGCTTCCGGGGTCCCTTTCAAGCTCTTACCATACTTGGGTTTGGGCTCAACTGTTTAGACACCTTTTTTTCCCATTGGCGTGTAGTTGACATTTAATATTCAGTTAGCTTCAGGTGTATAAGGTAGTGCTTTGACAACTGTATGTATAATGGATGCTCACGGTGATGAGTATTTCTCAGTAGTATTGACTGTTTTCCCTATTCTGTACCTGTTCATCCCCTTCGCCCATCTCGCCTGTCTCCCCACCCCCCCTCTGGCAAACAAACAACAAAACAGAGAGAACAGACTTCTACTTATGGAGAACAAGGGCTGGGCCCAGCACTTTGGGATGGCGGCTGCCTGACGAAGCCAGCAGCCAGCAGGTGTCACTGGCGCTCTATCCTGGGAGTGCCGGGCCCGCCTCGTAAGGCCATCTTGCCGTGGACGTGGTTGTGGGTTGTGCAGGGTTTTACATTCACGTGTCCTCCTCCGCCTCACTGACAATGACAGTCGTGGTCGCACCTAAGGAGCTGGACAGGCAGGTGACTCAGAGGTGTGCCAAAAGCTCGCGTTTCTGCTGTTCAACCAAACATGAGGTGCATGCTTCACTAGCTCAGTGTATCCACAGACCCACACGTGTCTCCGGACCCTAGGTAATGAAGTCACGTTTGGTGAGGGGATGGCACTGTGGGGTCTGGTTCTTTCTGGACTGTCAGGCAGATAGTATTTTTGGCGGAAACCTCCATGTCTTGCTCCCTGGACTCGTCTCTCCTGATTTCAGTGTTTGCGAGTTTCTGACATCAGAGTCTTGGGTGGCCCACAGGGAATATTTGTCAGTGGCACGAGAGCCCTGGACAGACTGCAAGAACCCTCATTCATTCATTCATTCATTCACTGAAATTTTCCCTTCCACTAGGTGTACTTCTCAAAGTGCTAGGGGAGAGGACGTTCTAGAACTTTCTATGGCAGTGGCCCACATGCTGCACATGCAAGTTCACATGTGTGGGTGAGCGGACAGCATTGGGGTCAGGTGGGAGTGATGAGAAACCCCCGGCCATGAAGAGCCATGTGGGAGAGTCTTAAGCTTGGAGATGTGGACACAGGTCTGGAGGCAGGGAAGCTGGAGAGGAGGCGCTTATCCCAGGCCTCAGTTCTGGCTCCCAAGAGCCTGCTGGGGGCGCCCGTGGGCAGCTCCCCTCCCCTGTGGTGCTGCATTCTTTAACACCAGCAGATCCCATTAAACCGAGATCCCAGACTTGGGTGTGTGGGACCCCTGTGTCCGCCTCGCCCGCCTCCATCCTGGGCTTGGATCCCCTCCACCGGCCCTGTGGGGTTCCCACGTATTTTATGCTGTGATGCCGCGTTGTTGGCTTCAAGTCAGCGGTCACTTCCTTCTTTGTATTCAGCCAAATTTTTATTCTTTAAAATTAGCAATGAGGTCAGAGTCAGGACCCAGATAGACTGAGAGAGAGAGAGATCAGAGTCTGTCTACCGTCGATGTCCATTTCTTTTTACCCGAAAGAAGCAAGCACATGAGGACAGCTGGGGAGATGGGCGCTGTCCATGGTCCTAGCATGAAGAGGGCTAGGGAGATGGGCGCTGTCCATGGTTCTTGGCAGATCTCTTCCTCTTGGGGGTGTTCTTGTCGGGGAAGGTGGGGAGGGGACACTTCAAGAGCTCCCGTGTCTCTGGGGCGGCTCCGGAGAGAGAGGGCATTCTGAGACTTTTTCTTCTTTCCCTCAGGCAGAGAGGCTGGGCCTCAGTGGAACTGGCCCGGCGTACCTCTCGCTCGACGCTGGTTCCCTGGGCACTGTTGACAGCTGGCAGGCACGGTTTGGGAGCATAGAGATTCCTTATGGGAATTTAGCCAATATCATTCTTCTCCTTTGTTGCAACACATGAAGTCTGTCTGCTGAAAAGCTGCAACAGATTGTTCTTGGCGTTGCTTACCCCAGAGCAGACCCCGGTCAAAATCTGCTTCTTTTGCGGGGAGCCTGGGTGGCTCAGTTGGTTAAGTGTCCGACTTCAGCCCAGGTCATGATCTCGAGGTTCGTGGGTTCGAACTCCGTGTTGGGCTCTGTGCTGACAGCCCAGAGCCTGGAGTCTGCTTTGGATTCTGTGTCTTCCTCTCTTTTTGCCCCTGCCTCGCTTGGACTCTGTCTCTCTGTCTCTCTGTCTCTCTGTCTCTCTCTCTCTCTCACACACAGAAATAAATAAACATTAAAAACAAAATTTTTGAAAATCTGCTTGTTCTGGCAACTGCTCCCACCCCAGAGAGAAAAAAATAGTTAGTAATGTGAGTGGAGTTGAGGGTCTCTGGCCCATGTGCAGGATTTTGGCCAGGTGTCTCCTAGAAGACATGACCAGCTGTGTGGGGCATCTTACCCTGGAGGCTGAGTTTCCAGCATTTTCCACAAGGGACCCCATCTCTGTGTTGTGAGGCTGGGTTTATGGTCCTTTTCATCTGGGCACCTGAGACACTCCACCATCTCTAAAATCAAAAGTGTCACTCTCTGCTTCCGACGGGACACGTCTCTGCCGCTTACACACATGTATTTTCAAACCTGCTTCACTGGATTTACGTTGATCCCTGCCCAAGTGCCTCTTGCTAGTTGCAGTCAATTTTTCTAAACTGCAACGTATTTTTAATCCTGGCTTTCCTTCGCAGAGTGTCTTGTTGATCTCGCCTTGCCCGTCACAAGGGACAGGAGCATATTTCGGTATTTTTATTCAAGTCGTGAATACAGGAGGGTGGCCACACCTGTTTATCAGTTTGTCTGGGCTCTTAAATCAGCTGCAGCATGTAATCTGGGGTCCTGGCATGTCCTAACCTAATAACTTTGCTGTCCAAAGGAAAGAATTCTTGGGGCGCCTGGCTGGCTCAGTGGGTTAAGCGTCTGACTTCGGCTTTGGTCATGATCTCACTGTTTGTGAGTTTGAGCCCCGTGTCAGGCTCTGTGCTGACAGCTCAGAGCCTGGAGCCTGCTTCGGATTCTGTGTGTCTCTCTCTCTGCCCCTCCCCTGCTCACGCTGTCTCTCTTTCCAAAATAAACAAATGTAAAAGTAAAATAAAAAAAAAAAAAGAATTCTGTATAGACGTGGCTCATTTGACTCTCCCCACGTGGTTTGTGGCCACGGCCATTTTCTTCAAGAGTTCCCATATAGCCCACGGGTCAGAATACATCCAAGGGACTGACCCTGCCCTGTGGTGGTGATTCCTGAAATCTGCTTTAAGAAATAAAACTCAGGTAGATTTCATTTCCTCCGTGACTTCCTAAATAGTGTAGATGGTAGACCCATTATCCTGTGGAGTCTGGAGAGGGGAAATGTTCTGGAAGTGGAGCCAGCCAGCCAGGGGGAGCGGGGTCTCCCAGTAGCAGAACTGGGGCCTGCCTCAGTGGGCGAGGGGGGCCATTACTGCTGCCCTAGGGGCCAGCCTGCGGTTCGCGCAGGGCAGAGATAACCCATGACATCAGTTACTGGGAGAGCCGGGGTCAGGGCCCAGCTGCCCCCAGGTGCTCATGCCTGTCCGTGGCTCATAGCTCATCGGCAGTTGAGCAGGTCTGAACCCTGCCACCCCTGTCTGTACGTGGAGCATGGAGTTTCCACCCTCTGCTCTCATCTCGCTGGTGGCTCCACCGGCACAACTTTGACACCACGGACTCGCTTTCCCCGTTTCTAGTCCTTCTGCACCACGGACAGTGTTTCCTTTCTGGTTGTAGTTAGGCTGAGAGCAGCAAGTCTGAGTCTAGAACGGTCAGCCGGGCAGAGTCCAGGCCGTCCCTGGGGCGCCCCGGGCTCTCAGTGCAGGGACCTGCCCGCCGCCCCCCCCACCCCCCCGCTGGGCCCTCCCCTCCCCCCACACCAATGTGAAGCAAGAGCATCGGCACACCGACGTCCCTGTCCCGGATAATTGGCCAGTCAGCCTGAGTAGCACAGATGAAAGACGCCCGTTCCACTTTGACGAGGACATGGGCGTGGCATTTCCAGCCCAACAAAAATGTTATTTTTGTTTAACTCCCCACCTGCTCCCACCTGCTTCTGGTGTCTTCCAAGCAGGAAAAGTGGACTTGGTGAGATTCAGGAAAGATAAAGAGTAAGGTCTGGAAAAGCACAGAGAAGTGGACGCAGATTTGCCACAGGGCAGAGCTCTCGTGTGTAGTCGTTCTGTGACAGGGCATGGGACCTCCACGTTTTGGTTAAAGAGGTGTATGCAAGTTTTTTAATGTTTATTTTTGAGAGGGAGAGAGAGAGAGAGGGGCACAGAGAGAGAGCGAGAGAGAATCCCAAGCGGGCTCCGCACTGTCAGCACAGAGCCTGATGCGGGACTCGAACCCACCAACCCTGAGATCAAGACCTGAGCTGAAATCAAGAGTTGGACGCTCACCTGACTGAGCCACCCAGGCGCCCCAGGCGTCCACAATTTTTAAGATGTATTTTTGCTCTGGGACAAATTCTCCGAGATGCATTGATTGTGACCCTCCCTGGGGGCCACGGGGTGATACATTAGGTGGGAGCCAAGACCAGGCTCCCCATACTCCAGCCGTTCCTCCTCTTGGAATGTAACCCCCTTCCCATAAAGGCAGCTACCCTCTACCCCCACGAGAGCACATTTGAAAACGGTGGCATTAAGGAACCTTTCTCAAGTTGTGTCTGGATCCTACATGTCCCTTATGAAGAAGGGCACCTTGTTTAAGTAGGTGTGAAAACACTTAATGTATCTCAGAGATTCAAAATGTACATCAGTGATAAATGGAGCATCTGGCCATTTGTGCCGGAAGACCCAGGAATATTTGGTCAAACCTCAGTCTAACGGTTGCCATGAAGGTATGTTTTAGATGAGATTAGCATTTACATCAGTAGACGTTGAATAAGGCAGATCAACCTCCATGGTGTGGGTGGGCCTCGTCCAATCAGTTGAAGGCTACATGTAATAGAAAAGATTTTAGGTTCCCAGAGGAGGAGGGAATTCTGCCTCTAGGCCCAAGCTACAACTCTTCCCTGGGCCCTCAGCCTCCCGGCCCACCCTTTGGATTTTGGACATGCCCCTCCACAATCATGTGAGCCAATTCCTTAAAACACCCATGTACACGTCAACGCACATCCTGTTTGTTCTGACTGATAAACCTGATTGATGCAATCTTCGGTTTCCTTTTTTTTTTTAAGTTTATTTATTTATTTTGAGAAAGCAAGAGAGAGCGCAAGTGGGGAAGGGGCAGAGGGAGGGAGAGACGGAATCCCAAGTAGGCTCCATGTTATCAGTGCAGAGCCCGACATGGGTTTCCAAGTCATGAACTGTGAGATTGTGACCTGAGCTAAGACCAAGTGTCCGATGCTTCACCGACTGAGCCACCCAGGTGCCCCAACAATCTTCTATTTCTTAGTGGTTTTCCTGGGCTCTTTATGGCACGGTATGAAGGCGTCTGATGAGGTCTGCCTGCTCTTGAGGCTCCTAATAAGTGAATAATGGCTTCTGCTGGGTCTCACTTGGCCTGAATGTGTCATAGCAATCGGAGGCATCGTGGTATAAACACACATGGGAAGTCCGGTTTTGAAATTGGGCTTTACACCTTGCCCTGTTGTGAAGGTCACGGTTGAAAGCCATTTGCAAATGGGGTCGCGCCTCAGAGCCCCTTGCGGAGGCGTGCGGCTCTCGTAAGCCAGACGATGATGCGAGTAGCCCTCAGCTTCTCCTCTGAATGTGGATGCTTTTCCTTTTCAAAAACTTACCACAAGCTTGGACGTCTGGTTTTCGTTGTGGAAAGGGAGGCGGAAGAGAATGATTTCACACTGACAGTTGAAGAGCGAAGGGTGCTTGACTGCAAGTGTGGATTAAGGCTCCATGTCAGAGCCTCGGGGAGGCAAGGGTGGCATGCGTGGGCCCCGAGGGGTGGAGGGTGGTTGGTCCTATGGCACGGCCCCGTGTCATCAGAAGGGGCAGATTGTTTCAAACGTCGGAGAATCGTGTGCACATTTTAGGAGAATGTCCGTTCGGAATGCTTGAAAGCACACAGAGGTTTGCGCTGTCGGCAAATCCTCAGCCCTTGTGGGGGGCGGGCTGTGGGGGGCTCCTCGCTGAGGAAGCTCCGTGCCTGGGGGCTGCGCCTCCGAGGATGCTCCCTTCTGACCCTCCCGCTCTGTAACAGGTTCTCTGGAGCATCCTCGCGGTGGCTTTGTCCGGAAGGTGTGATCTAGACGCCCTTCGCCTGCTACTGGCGTTTCCCGAGGATGGGAAGTCGGGGTCTGCGGTGCGGGAAGTGTGTGCCCTGCCCGGGCCCGAAGTGTATTCCCTGATTGTGTCCATGAGTCAGAACCTGAATCTGCGGAGTTTCATTTACAAAGTAAGGGGGGTGACCATGGTGGGGGGGGGCTGACATGGGAGGCATTGCGTCTGCAGAGGGGGCCTGCCACGCGGCCGTGGGGGCCCAGCAAGGTGCACACCCCGCCAGCCTCCGCCAGCCTCTGTGTCTCCTGTGCACTGACTCTGGGAGGGGTGGCTCGAAGCAAGGGGTGTCCAGGAGACCTCCCAGGGGGCCCCTGGAGTCAGGCCTATCGGGACATGTGGCACAGTGGTGGTGGTAGTCAACGTGGTCAGCACAGAAGGACCAATAAGGAAAAGCCCTTCCCCATGTGGGGTTCCTTGGGGCTGTGAGAGCCACCCCCGCGAATCAGGAGCTGCTTCCACCCCTCCTTGGCCTTGGCCTTCTCTGCCCCATTATGTCCTGAGACCCACAGCCTCTGTCCTGGGAACGTCATGTGCCCATCTCTGCCAGGCCCTGGTCACTTGGGGAAGCAGCTCATTACACGCTCCCGCACATGGCAGATGGGACAGTGTGTGAGGGAGAGGGTTGACTGTGGATGGTGAGCACGTTAACCTGGGGGTGCCCCGGTTAACCTCCAGTGACCCCCGCTGTGTGGACGGTGAGCACCACTAACCCAGGGGCGCCCCGATTAACCTCCAGTGACCCCTCCGTGTGGATAGTGAGCACCACTAACCAAGGGGCACCCCGATTAACTTCAGTGACCCCCCCACCGTGTGGATGGTGGGCACGATAACCTGGGGTGCCCCCATTAACCTCCAGTGACCCCCCCCGCCGTGTAGACGGTGAACACAGCTAACCCGGGGGCACCCCCATTAACCTCCGCTGACCACCTTCTGGGCTCTGCCTCTTCTAGAAGTTCTTTGTCTTCTGTCCTCCACTGAGTCTTACACTTCCAGAAACTTTGCCTGTGCCCTTAGGGACCAGCCTTGCTCCACGTTCCTCCCCAGGGACAGATTTGCCGACATCTGGGCTCATCAGAGGTGACACAGGTGTTGACAATGGCAAAAGTGCTTCCAAACTGGGGGAACGGCTTTGGGGTCAGGAAAAGGGGGGGTTTGTCTTCCCAGCCTAGTTTATTCGTGTTCCCCCTCCCTCTGCTGGGTAATTGTTAGGTTACACACGCACACACATTCATAGAACAAATACTTTCAGATCAAGTATATTTAAAATGCACAGGCAGGAGGGGGGCGCCTGGGGGTCTCAGTCCATTAAACGTCCGACTCTTGGTTTTGGCTCAGGTCATGATCTCACAGTTCATGAATTCGAGCCCCATTTGGGCTCTGTACTGACAGTGCAGAGACTGCTTGGGATTCTCTCTCTCTCCCTCTCCCTCTCTCTCTCTCTCTCTCTGCCCCTCCTCTGCTCGTGCTCTCTCTCCTTCTCAAAAATAAATAAATAAAAACCTAAAAAAAAAGAATTGTTTTATTTTCACTCTTAAAATATCCACTTTAGGTATCTCCAAGATAAAGAGAAATACTTGGAAATTGATTTTAATTAAAATTTTGTTTAATGTTTATTTTTGAGAGAGAGAGAGAGACCGCAAGCGAGCAGGGGAGGGGCAGAGAGAGAGGGAGACAGAGAATCCGAAGCAGGCTCCAGGCTCTGAGCTGTCAACACAGAGCCCGACTTAGGGCTCGAACCCACAAACTGCAAGATCATGACCTGAGCTGAAGTCGAAAGTTTAACCGACTGAGCTCCCCAAGGGGCCCCCGATTTTAATTTTAACAACAGATTGTATTTCTTCCTGGTTTACGTTTGAGCATTGCTGGCGTAATCGAGGGTGTGATGAAAAGCTGAACCAGGTGCACGCCAATGAAGAGGATGTTGATTCGGCACAGCCAAGACGTCTCCCTAGTTCGAGAGAGAATAAAATCCAATAACCAGGCTTTCACTGCTCACTCAAGGCTCATGAGAGTAGAATGTACAATGTTGGTTATTTCACGTTGTGTCTTTTCCCTTTGAGACTCTGATGCCTTTGGAAGCGAGCAGAGTGCTCAGCTCCCTGTTGGACGTGCTCTCCAGGCTCAGCCACCTGCTTGCCAAAGCCGGCCACGTTCTGGAATACCTTCCCGAATTTCTTCGTGTGAATAAAATCACTGCCTTGCTGGACACGCCCGACTTTCAACAGGTGTGTGTTCACTTTTGGTCCCCAGGGAAATATTCAGATTTGCTGCTTTGGCCTGTATTTGTCTTCCGGCATCTAAAGTTTGCATGTGGCAGCAAAACATAGCAATGGGAGTACTTTCTGTGGCTGTGGAGGCAACAGCCTGGCAGGAACGCTGGGCATCTCCCTAAAAACCAGAGGTCAGAGACTTCGTTGAACCACATGCCCCCACATGGTGGTTGGAAGGGTTCACGCATAATCTGTGAAGTCTGAAATCCCTACATCGTGTATGAGCACACATGAAATTCCACAGGCTTGTTTAACTTCATCCCGAGAGTTAATTGCTTTCAAAAACCTTCACGTTTATTTACATGCAAATAATTGGCTTACGAAGTACGGATTATGTACTGCAAATACAAACACAAACTTGCAGGAAGTTAGTGGGGTGATGGTAGCTTTTGCTTGGACGCCGTCTGCCTGGACGGGATGCACGGGGAGAGCAGGTGCGTGGGGACACGCAGAGAGAGGTGCACGGCGCGGGGCGTATGGCAGGGTCCTCAGCGGCCTCGGGTAGGACAGCGCTGTGTTCATCAGCTGATGGGCAGTTTGGAAAGCCGTCAAGTGTCTGGGGGAACTCAGCGGTAGACAAACGTGAAGAACATTAATTCGCAGATTTAGCGATCTTTTATGGATTGATCATTTATCACTGGACGGACCAGGATTTGCTGGTGCGCGTGCGTGCGCATGTGCGTAAGTGTGGCCTTTGTGTCTCCTAATGGGTTAAAGTCCAGAAAAATCACTGCACGTTTTGCGGGGTGTTTGGAGGGCAGAGAAGTCTGAAGCCCAGATTGCGTGCTCGGGCGTGGTGAACGTTTTGTGTGTTCAGCTGGAGACAGGGCTCCCTTGCAGAAGGCGGAGTCCCTGTTGAATGATACCTTATTTGTCTCATGTTCTCAGGATCCACAGAATGGCCAGGCCAGAAGTTCAGCCTTCGGTTCTTTCCAGTCCGTGATGAAGAAGCTTTGCAAGGAGCCCGCGTCGTTTTTCAGCGGCTCCAACTCGTTCATTAACTTGCCCAGAGTTAACGAGCTCCTGGGAGGGGACAAAGAAAAATTCAACATTCCCGAAGATTCAAGTAAGGCGACAGTAATCTGTGTTTGCATCTTGGCCACGAGCCCTGCTCTGTGCTGAATGTTCGGTGTGAGGGTGGGCGCATACTGGCAAAAAGTGGTCCCCCTCCACCTTCTCAGCTGTATCTCTCCGCTTTCACTGAGGCCGCACATGTGGATGTGGCTGGTGGCTTTGGAAGCCCCTGGCGCCCACCCACACCAGGTGATCTTCTCCCTGTGTCGTCAGGGAAATGACACAGGTCTTCTTGTATCCGTGTCTTAGATGAGACCATCGTGATTCAGAGATAAGATCACATGGCCAAAAAGGCATCACTTGTTCAGGGGTGCGGGGCGCCGAACCCCACAAGTGTACTGGCACACTTAGTCTGCCTTTCTAATTAAAACAGTCACTTTTGGGGCGCCTGGGTGGCGCAGTCGGTTAAGCGTCCGACTTCAGCCAGGTCACGATCTCGCGGTCCGGGAGTTTGAGCCCCGCGTCAGGCTCTGGGCTGATGGCTCAGAGCCTGGAGCCTGTTTCCGATTCTGTGTCTCCCTCTCTCTCTGCCCCTCCCCCGTTCATGCTCTGTCTCTCTCTGTCCAAAAAATAAATGAACGTTGAAAAAAAAAATTAAAAAAAAAAAACATAGCCACTTTTTTTTTCTTAATTTTTAAAAAAATGTTTATTTGTTTTTGAGAGAGAGAAAGACAGAGCATGAGTGGGGGAGGGGCAGAGAGAGAGGGAGACACAGAATCCAAAACAGGCTCCAGGCTCTGAGCTGTCATCACAGAGCCTGACGTGGGGCTCGAACTCACGAACTGCGAGATCGTGACCTGAGCTGAAGTGCGATGCTTAACTGACTGAGCCACCTAGCAACCCCAAAAACATATCCACTTAAAGTGGGGCCAGGAAGTCACTTATCCATCCACAGTCCTTTGCCACTGAGTCTCACAGAAGACAGATTTGTAGTGGCCGCATACATTTCTCCTTGTTGTAGGATCTCACCACGTTGCAGGGACCAAAATGGTGCTCTTGGTCTCCGTGCCTGGACCCCCTCAGTGGTACTGGTCAGCTGGGGCTCCCTAATGGACCAGGGTGTCAGGGATGTCTGACTCTGGGGCTCCCAGTCCTTTTAAAAGGGTTTACCTGATTGCTTGGCCAGGATCATCTTCTTTTTGAGAAATGCCAGGTCAGCTGATTGGGGACCTTATTTACAGCTTTAGCATTCCTTCACCATGCCTGGGAAACCCACCCAGGGGATGGCATCTGTCATTCCCAGCTCCCGTCTGCAAGTCAGGGCATGAACGCCAGGGGCCATGTTGGGATTCTGCCTACCACCTGCCCCCGATATATATACAAAATACATTATATTACAAATTATGTCTTATATACTTACATATATAAAACATGCTATATATTACAAATTATGTATTATATATTTGTATATATTTCTTTAATTTGAAAAATGTAAATCTAAATCTCTGTCTACGTACCATGTGCATGGGGTGGAGAGAGTCCTGGCAGGACCAGGGAGGAGGAGGAGGGGGCATTTTATGGAGCTGGAGGCGTAAGGTGTGAAGCCACCTCACAGCAAACTCAGAGACAGTGTGTTCGTGTGCTCATCAGCGAGTGGATAGTTCAGGTAGTTCCAGATACAACATGATTTGGCAGTATAAACACACATTAATGTTGTTAATATCTGATAATTTTTGTTGTCCGCTTCTCTAATTCTCATGTCTTCTTTTTTTTCTTGCGCTTGGGTTTCTTGAGGATTTTTTATTTGCTCATGAAATCTAATCATCCATCCTTCCATCCATTCCTCCATCAATCTATTAATTCATCCATTTATCCTTCCTTCCTTTCTTCCTTCCTTCCTTCCTTC